ACCTGTCACTTCACAGCTGAAACAGCTGAAGTTAGAGTTCCAGTATACACCCTGTTGTACTGCGGTAGTGAGGGCCTACACTGTTGAGATGGGCCCACACAAGTCTATGCAGGGGGAAAGGCAAAGTCCGTGGATTCCTTATGCCTGTGCCTTGGCAAAGGAGCTGTGCCTATCCTGGGTTCTTGGCTTAGGGGAGCCGGGAGTTTATTTTTTTCCCATTTGTTAATTTGTTTACTCTCCAAGGCAGGGAGAATGGCTGCAGGCGTGTGATGGATCCTCCTTCTGGCCCAGGGGACTCTGCAACTGGTAAAGCTGGTCCGGGACCCAGTGCAGAGCAGGGAGTGGGGAGGTAAATGGGGGTGTTTTTGATCCACACGGTAGGCTGAATGTAATTACTTATCTTTCCCTGATCGAGGGTTGCTTCTCACTGGTTCTGAGTGGCCATGTAGACTCTCTGGCACTGGGTCTCTCCCGGTGCGGAAAACGCACCTCCCGACCACCACCGCTTGCCTGCCTCACTGCTCACCCCCGAGGTGATCAGTCCTGAAGGGCTCAGGCTCCCACCAAATCAGGTCTGGCAACTCCTTGCAGCTTCTGAACTGTCTCTCTCCCCCCTGCCACTCAGTCCGGTTCCTCAACTCTGCCTTTGATGTTCAGAGCTCCTAGACTGCCTTATGTAATTGAATCACTTGTTTTTTCGGGTCTTTGTTGTAAGAGGGTCCATTAGAAGCGTCTCACTACTCTGCCATCTTGGCCCCGCCTCGAGTCCCACAAATATTTTATTGCAAAGGTTCATTACTTAAACACTCATGGACAATTTTTGCAAGGGGTATTTCATTTAAAGATTCTGCTCGTTAATGAAATTGGCTGGAATAAGCTACTAACAGCAATTATACCACTTATGCTACTCATGGTTTTAAATCATAACTATGGTAACTTTTCCTCTGCTCTGCATGTATTTGAAATAATAATGAATTAAGGATCTCCCAGACTCAGAATTATTGTCAATAACAATAGACGGCTAAGAATTCCTTGCTTATAGCAACACATATGGTTTTAAAAGTAATGACAAACCCAACAGAGGAAAAAGAAGTCAGGAATAGGAGGAGGATATGGAATGTGTGGCTAACTACCTCCATGAACACCTGCCCCCTTTGCCATGAGACCAGAAGAACTGGATAGTGGCTGGCTACCATTACTGAACATTTTGATCAAAGATTCTATATAAGAATCCTGATCAAAAGGGGGAAAATAGAGAATATAATTTCCAATTCTCATGGAATCTAGCCTTTCTGGCACCATGGAAGCTGGATGAACTCTTGAAACTACTGTCCTGAGATAATCTTTAAACCTTAAATCAAAAATATTCCCTGAAGTCCTCTTAAAACCAAACAACAGTTTATCTTAACTAGTAAAGAATGTCTGCCTTGAGCATTGTGCTCTTTTAAGATCTATCTATGTGGGATTAAACTGACAACAGCAACTTGAAAGGTCAGACAGGAACTTTAGGAGGCAGTGAGTTTATGTTAATGGGAGAGGAACAACTCAGAAAACGAGGATGAGAAAGGCTGCTCAACTTGAAGAATGCAACCAATGCCACTGAATTGTACATGTAGAAAATGTTGAATTGGTGTATGTTCTGCTGTGCATATTCTCAAGAACAAAATACAATAAATTATAAAAAAGTAATGAGAAACCCAAGTACACAAAATTAATGCCTTATATAAACAATTTTTCCCTGACCTATAAGATAAGGCACAAAATGAACACAATGAATTAGCTACACGTTTAGTGAAGAGAGCCTAAATATACTTCATATTTATTAAATATACTCATATTCACCAACTTATCTTATATGAAAACATTTTATCCTCATAGATGGCCCATGTGTAGCAAAGGTTAACTCAGTAGCCCGGGCTGTTCTTGCACATTCCAAAATGTCTTTAACCTTTAAGCCCTTGAAATATCCTGCCTGAAAAGAGTGTCTTTGTATACCTGAGACCTTGGTACACTTCAGATAGTTTATGCTAACAGTGTGATTTATGCTGAACACATCTTTTTGTTCACCTGGGGCCCTGGGCCACACTGTATCCATTTTACCTTTTGGGGGAATCCATATACTAGCTACTGAGTAGCTAAGGTCTATCACACAGGCAGTCCATGCCTATGTGACTGACCTCCTATAAAAACTCTAAACACCAAAGCTTGGGTAAGCTTCTCTGGCTGGCAACATTTGCACATGTTGTCACTTATTTTGCTGGGAGAATTAAGTGCTGTTGGCTTCTCCCAGACTCCATCCTAAGCACCTTTTTCCTTTGCAGATCCTAATTTGTATCCTTTCATTGTAATAATCTGTAACCAAGAGTACAACAGTTTTTCTGCGTTCTGCATGTTCTTCTAGTAAATCATTTAACGTGAGGGTGGTCTTGGGGACCCCCAACACAACCTATAATAGTTAATGAGATTTCTTCTAATTTCAAGGTTTGATGTCAGCAACTTTATCTCCAAAGAGGCAGAGATAGTACTACATACTCACAGGAATGCCTTCTAGTATGTAGATTCCCCTTCACATCAGCTAAAAGTTGCTGACCAGATGTAGGAAGGTATTTCTGCTGAAAGAAACAAGGGCTGCCCCACTGCCACCAGATCCTTCCTTTTCTTCGGTGAGGAGACAGGTAATTTTCAAGAAGTCTGTAAAATGGAATTTCTGGTGCCTTCTCTTAAGTCGCCATTACTGACCCACATTGTTGTTGTTAGTTGCTGTTGAGTACATTCTGACTCATGGAGACCCATGTGCTACAGAGTAGAACATACTCCACAGGATTTTCTTGGCTGTAATCTTAACAGAAGCAGATCACCAGGCAGGCCTTTTCTTCTGCAGTACCGCGGGGTAGGTTTGAGCTGCCACCCTTTAGGTTAGCAGTGAAACACAAACCATTTGTACCACCTAGGGACCTTACTGACCCATAGTTGAGGAGAAAAGAACTTATAAAATTCTTCTACCCTTAGATTAATTTTGCACTTTTTTGGTTAAAAATGTGTCAGGGCTCCCCAAAAACACCTTCAAGTTTAAGGACTCACTAGAAGGACTCAAAGAACCCAGAAAAGGTATTATATTCATAGTTATAGTTCATTACAGCAAAAGGACAGTTAAATCAGCAAGGGGAAAAAACGTGCATAGGGTGGAATCCAGGAGAAACCAGGCATGAGCTTCCAGTTGTCCTCTCCCATTGGAGTCACACAGAAGCACTTAACTCTTCCAGCAGTGATATGTGCCACAATACGTGCAAATGTTGCAAACTAGGGAAGCTCACATGAGCCTTGGTGTGCAGGGTTTTTACCGGGAGCCAGTCATGTAGGTATGGAAAGTCCACATGACTGACTTTAGTTACTCAGTAGTTAGTATATGGATTTCCCCCAAGAGGTTAAACTGATACAGTGTGGCTCAGGGCCACAGGTGAGCAAAAAGAAGTGTTCATCATAAATCACACTGTTAGCATAAACTATCTGACCAGGCCCAAGGTCTCAGGTATACAAAGACAATCTTATTAGCCAGAACTAGTCATGGACCAGTCCTTTCTTTGGAACATGTAGGGTCTGAGCACCTAAGTCTGCTGAGTTAACCCTTTACTACACAAAGGGTTTAGTTCCTGAAAGAATCTGTGCATTAAAGTATCATCGAGAATTATAGCATTCAAGAGCTTTTGGCTTATCAGATCAAAACATCCCAACTGTGTTGGTCAGTGACAATTACAACACTGTATAAGGTCTCTCAATTTCCTAGCCAGCCTAGGCTTTCTCTTTCTCTTATGGAAGCTCGTAACTGTTGCTAGTTTCTAAGAAAATTAGCAAACATGATACTCAAGTATGGAATTACCTACCACCCGTGTAAGAATGAGATTTTAATTGATCTCACTCCTAAATCAGTAAAAGTATCACACGATTATAATGGTTTCCATTCTGAATCACAGGCCTAAAACGTTAATTAAAAAGCCTTTAACGAATAAATTGCACTACCATGAGCTCATCAAATTAAATGATTTAGGATTCCCTATCTTAAAGTTTAAATGTAGAAGGGTAAATGGTGACACTTTTCCTAGGAATATCAGGTAGGTTAACCTGTGTCCAAGTGTTTTTCATGCACAGTCCCAGGAGCTATACCAGGCATTGTTTTACAGTTCATTATTGTCCACATTACCTAACATGCTATTTTCAGACATTAACAGTAGTAACAGGAGAATGTTAAAGCCTCTATCTTGAGAAAATCTTATAGGTAGTGGTTGAGAGCAAAACTATGCAGTCAGACTCCCTGGGATTGAGGCTCAATCCCAACATCTACTGGCTCTGTGACCTTGGGCAAGTTTCTTACCTTCTGTCCCTCAATTTCTTCTTTTGTAAAATGGGAATAATTATAACATCTTTCCCGGAGCCTTTCTTTCCTTTCTTTCTTTTTTTTAACATAGGGATTAAATAAATTCCTATCTGTAAAAAACTTAGAATTCCGTCTGGCATATCATAGAAACTATATAAGTGATGGCTATTGGCTATTATCATCACCACCAGAGTTCAAGGAACTCAGAACATTTAGCTTACATTAGCGTGTTAATTTGCATCTTACCCCAAATGGTAGAAGGAAGAGCAGTATTATCCTCTTGACTGACAGGCACTTTATCGGATTCCACTATAACACAGCTGCCTCACTGGTTTCATTTGCAAAATGGTGATGCTAATAACCTATCTCATAAGGCTGGGTGGGGATTAAATAAGATAACTGTTCAGAAGTTCTGTTTTGTGGTATTACCACAAAGGATATATTGAAAACACTGAGCTCTGCCAGAATGATTGGGATTTCAAAGTTACCTGGTTCCAAATATTCAAGCACTTCTGCAAGGTAGATATCAATACACTTCAAGGTATGAACCCCAAAGGTGCTAGAAGAGCAAATCAGTAAAAAAAAAAAAAAAATTGTCCCCTTCTTTCACATTCCCTGGTTAGGATACATTTCTTCAAAATAGTCAATGTGTGGAGGCTGGAGTATGTCAAGGGCAGAGAGTACCTGAGAAAAGGGGGGGAAAAAAAAGTCAAATTTAGAGAACTAAAAAGGAAACAAAATGTAACATCATAAATACAAGTAAATACTACTAACTCTTCAATGATTTAAGGTTTGGTTACAATTGCCCACTGAAATTAACTGACTTTATCCATCAAGAAACTCAGAGTACTAAGCATTAAGACAATTCTACCTAAACCAAAATGAGAGAGGCAACTGGATTATATCACATGCACAAAAGGAAGTGTTGGAAAGAAATGCACTATTTTTAACAATCAGTGTTGCTATAAGAGAATGAGGAGCCATATCTACCATTCCTTCATTTATTCCTCTGTTCAATGAACGTTTACTCAAGTGCTTTCTACCCTGGCAGGCACTGTGGTAGGCTCTATGGTTATACTGAGGAACAAAACAGATATCACTGCTATTCTCATGCATAGGGGAAAGGCAGGCATCAAACCAGGAGTGCCTGGTGGATTCGAACTGTTGACCTTTTGGTTAGCAGCCAAACTCTTAGCCACTACATCACCTGGGTTTCCAATGAGTAGGCAATATAAATGTATCGAGGCAAGAAAGAACCAGGCAGATTCTAGAAACATAAAAACCAGCACTTATGCAACATAGCAGGTGGGAGTAAACAGCCTGGGATAAAATAGGAGAGGAAGATAGGGGATATAACATACTAAAATCTTTTTAAATTACGTTAAACATTTTGAATTTTATTTCAAATACAATACAAGAAGTCACCAGGGTGGTAAAAAAAGACCTTAAGGCACCTGAAATTCAGTCCTTTATAAAAGCAGCATACTATCATTGCAACTTCTGCCACTGAAACATAACAAATAGGCCTACTTCCCTTACCAGCTGTCCAGCTACTCTTTTTTAAGTCCCATCTATTGTGTAAAATCTAAGAATTTGAACCTATCTTGCTAATGAGAAATACCAGCCTTAAGGGACATGGAAGAAGTTATAACAGGAAATAAACTATGTGGTACAAGTTCAGATTTTCTGATCTTTAACTTAGTATCTCCCTGCTACTCACAGCTTTTAAAGTTGTTTGTTTTTTTTTTTTAAATGGAAAATTTCAAACATACAATAGCGGACAGAATGGTATAAAGAATATCTTTGTACTCAATAGCTGTATTAACAGTCATCCGTGCGTGGCCATTCTGTTTCATCTATACTCTTTACCTATACAATTTTGAAGCAACCCAATTTATCATTTCATCCATACATATTTCAGTAAATATTTTTAGAAGATAAAAACTTTAACAAAAATACAATGATCAAATCTAAAATTTTAATATATTTTTTAACCAAATATCCAGGGTTCAAATTTCCAATTGTCTTATGATTTTCAAGTTTGTTAGTTTAAGAAACCTAGTTCATTTTTAAAGGTTATTCTTATTTCAGTCAAGAACTCATTTTAAAATTTTAAATTAAACTGTTCTATAATTAAAGAGCCTTCACTTACATTAAAACCAGCTAAACAGAGATTTTAAGATAGTTCAGATGTTTTATGAGAAATGTCTATCTTCTGAATTAAAATGTTTATACTTAGAATTTTAGTATAAACAGAAAATAATAGATTTTCCACCCTTTTCAAAGAATAATTTTTATCACATGAAAGATAAATTATTTCTATATTTTTTAAGCTATATGCCAGTATCATGAATCTACATATATTTATTTTTCATTATGTGACAGAACAATTTTTAACATGAATATCTGACGCTTGAGGGAGACAGTTAGAAATTAGTATTTTACTTGACATCTTTCGGACTCTAAACTCTGTATCTGAACAACATACATCCTGTCTTGGGGGAAAACAGAATGCAATGAGTGACAGCGTCCATTAGACAAAGCTATTTTACACTTCAAATCTATCTGCTATAATTAGAGGTTATCTAGAGGAAAGTGACAACCATACATTTTAAACCTTGATAAAGAAGAATGAGGTTTTCCTACTCCATATTTGATGAGGGCTTTTTTTGTAGAAAAGCCATACAAAACATGGCTAGGCATTTGCACTACAGCATTTAGCTGTGATTGTTAGCTTCAGAGGTACAATATTTAAAATTCTGCCTGTATTTTTTAAATGCCTTTTGTTTTATCCTCTTACTCTTTCCACCCCAAATATCTATCGAGGGTGGTATTCCACAGTGCTCCAGGTGACAAAAGTGGTATTTAGGACCAGTAGGAATGATCCAGGAGTCTCAGAAGTGATGTAAATAAGTGAGAAGGAACAGTAGCAGTTTCAAACTCCAGACTTCATGCCTGACTCTCCACTTAAGTAGTCTGAGTTCCTATATAACCCACTACTATTTGTGGGAATAAAGTGTGAAACTAGCCTTATGGTGTAAATAGAAGGACACTTGTAAAGATTTCTAAACAGTCAGAGTATCCCAAAATATCACCAGCTCTTCAAAGATCTTTAAAAAAAAAAAACAAAAAAAAACATTAAGCAGACTTGTCTAATTAAAAAATGAACTAAAGCTACATCCTTCAATGACAGTTATTACCAGTGTCTTGGCACATTTTTCAAATCTATTAAGAACTGGACAAAAGGTCACTATGAATGGAAAAATCTGGAAACCATATACAACTGTGTGGGTCATAACAAATTATGTGATGAGAGCTGAACAACATGATGAACAGAAAAAACACCCCCCCACCCAAAAAAGAACTCCAAAGGTCATTATGGTAGCTGCTTTTTAGGATTTTAACTACCATGATGTTAAGATTCACTATAAACTGGTTACATTATTAGCAAATGGCTTAGCTTCAGTTAGCCCTTAAAAAAAAAAAAAAATTTACTGCTGTTAATAACTCAGTTGTAAATATAACAAGAAATTCAACTATTTATTTATAAAACATACATTTACTGAGTTTCTAATCTGCCAAGAAACAAGGATTCAAAGACAAGAATAAGGCACAAGGAATTTAGTTAAGTCCCAAAGGAGTCCTGGTGTCACAATGGTTAAGTGCTTGGCTACTAACCGAAAGATTGGCAGCTAGAACCCACCCAGCACTTCTGTGGCAGAAAGACCTGGCAATCTGCTCCTGTAAAGATTATGGCCTAGAAAACCTTATGGGGCAGCTCTACTCTGTTGCTAGGGGTCACTATGAGTCAGAATCAACTCGACAGCACCCAGCAACAATTCAATAAAGGAGCTAGGGAACCTCCCTCTGCAACATTCTCTCACTGCCAATAGATTCTAAGTTGTTTAAGGTAGAGACTATGTTATTACTTTTTTTTTTTTTAAACAGAGTTGTAACATGGTAAAGTACAGAAATCCTAAGCATAAAATTTGATGAGTTTTTACTTTAACACCTGTACACAAAGACACACATCCCTAGTCCTACTTCTGTAATCACAACACAGATGAAGAAATACAACATTTCCAACACCCCAGAAGGTCCCCTTATCCCTTTCCAGTCAAAACTCATGCCTGTTCAGAAGTTACAACTATTCTCACTTCGATGACTACAGATTACTTTTGCCTGTCCTTAAACTTTATACAACTTGACAATAAAGCGTGGAGCCTTTTGCACATGGCTTCTTTTATTTACTGTTATGCCTGAGAGAGTCATCCACAATGCTGTGTGGATCAGTGGTTCATCCTTTTCCTTGATGTTCAATATGTGTAGTATTATCTTGTATTATATGAATAGAATATACCACACTGTATTTATCCAGAGTGATGCTGGCAGACATTAGGCTGTTTCCACTTTCTAGCTATTATGAATAAAGCTGCTATGAACATTCTTGCTCAACTTTAGGTGGACATATGCATTCATTTCTTCTGAGTGTATTCCAAAGAGCAGAAACCTTGTCCTTTGGCAGGTGTATATTTAGCTTTAACAGAAATTGCTGGTTTTCCTAAGCAGTTTTACAAATTTAGGCTCCAATCAGCAATAGTAGAGTTTCAGTTGCTCTATATTCTCGCCAACACTTGGCACTGTCAGTCTTTTTAATTACAGCCATTCTGGCAGGTTTATAGTGGTATCTCATTGTAGTTTAAATTTACATTTCTCTGACAACTAATGACTTTGTACACTTTTTTAATATGCTTCTCAGCCATTTGGTTATCTTCTGTAAAATTCCTAATTAAGTTACTGATGGGTAAAAAATCGTTATTTGTAGAAGCTCTTCACAGGATGTATGATGTTTAAATACAGAAGTTACAGTCTGAAGAACATCAAGTAAAAACACTGATTGCATCTAACTGTCTTCCTCAAACATCAAATACTTATTTTAAAATTTGTTCTAATACATAATATATCCTGAAAACAAGTCTTTTGTTAGAAATATGTCTGAGGTCTGTCTTTTCATTCTCTTAATGGTAACTTTTTGATGAACAGTTCTTAATATTAATGATGTCCAATTTAACATTTTTTAAAATGATTAATGCTTCACTTGTCCATTTAAGTCTTTGCTTATCTTGAAGTTATAAAATATATTCCTATGTTTTATTCTAGAAGCTTTATTATTTTACTTTTCACATTTAGGCCTAATGATCCATTTTTAATTCATCGATGTGTATGGTGTCAGGTAGGGGTTGAGGCACATTTTTTTGTCCATATGAATATCTAATAGACTCAGAACTGTTTATTGAAATGGCCACCCATTCCTCACTGAATTGCAGTAGTGTCTCTCTTGTAAATCAAGTGAACATATATATGCATGTCAGTTTATAGACTATTCTGTTCCATTAATCTATCTGTCTCTGCTTGTGCTGCCTCAGTTACCGTAGCTTTATATATCTCGATATCCCGATAATGTGAATTTCCAAGTCTGTACAACTTCTTGAAGATTATCTAGGCTAACTTGTATCTTTTGATTTTAATATAAATTTTAGAATAAGTTTGTCAATTTCCATGCACACATACATACAAAACCATGCTGGGATTTTGACTTGGATTGCATTGAATATACAGCTCACAACAGGCATAGTAACAGCATTGAGTCTTCCAATTCATGAACATGACAGGCTATTATTTTA